GTATAGGTGTTCGATTTTATCACAAAATATATCATATGATAGCCCTAGTTTAGGGGAATCTAATAAAAAAAAGTTTGTACAATTTATTTATTTTTAATAATAATAATAAAGTTAATTGCTGGTGAGGAATTAACCAATAAATTAGAAATTTTTCTCATTAATACTAGAACTCCTTGGTTAAAAAAAAATTATTCTCTCATTTATCATAATATTTTTAACGAAAACAACTTTATAAATTTAAATAACTTATTGTAATGATATTATTGCAAAGCATCCAAATATTATTCTTGATAGTTCAGATTTTACTTCTCTTTCAGAATGTTCCTTAGTATCTTTTCTTAAACGAGACGGTTTACAAATGGAAGAAGTTAAAATTTTCGATTATGTCATCAAGTGGGGAATTGCTCAAACTTTTACTCTTCCTATAAACCTTGATGATTGGACCAAGAAAAATTTCCTTACATTGAAGATTACTCTACAACAATGTTTATCACATATTCGTTATTTTCACCTTTCAAGTATTGAAATTGTCGATAAAGTTGAACCCTATAAAAAGATTCTTGATAAACAACTTTGGAAAGATATAAATCAACAACTTTTAATTCCTGACCGACCAGTAAAATCAATTATTTTACAGCAAGAATTTAGCTACCGATCGAACTTTTCAAATATTATTTCTGAAGAACACATTGCGGAAATTTCATCTTGGATTGATCGTAAAATAATTCCTTATTTGACAAAAAATGTCCCATATTTTTTCAATTAATTCTACGTGGTTCTAGAGATGGTTTTGTACCCAAAAAATTTTGGGATATTTGTCGTGATTATACTAATACAGTAGTTGTGATAAAAATTAAAGAAACAAACGAAATTATTGGAGGTTATAATCCTTTAGTATGGGATCATATTGGTTTTTGGTCGTTAACAAACGATAGTTTTATTTTCTCATTAAGAGATCAAAATTCTATTCTTCGTAGAGTAAAAAGCGTTCCTGTAGTTTCCAAAAATCATCAAAAATGTATGGTCCACGTTTTAAAGGTTTTGGCTTATATACTGAGTCATCGAATTTTACTTTAGATAATAGAAGTTATTGTGATAAATTTGGTGTATCATCAAAAGAAAACTTTTCTATTACTGAATATGAAATATTTAAGATTGTTAAAAAAAAATGGGTAGATTTTTTTTTCTATAAGAAAATCAAATAATTTTAAAAAATCATTAACCTTTAAATGAGGAATCTTGACGGTATAAAAAAAATAACCATTGGAGTCTCACGTTCTGCCATATATTTTATTAATTTTATCATTTATTTCATTATCATTTAAAAATTATTATATGTCATTTTTATTTCATTATCATTTAAAATTATCAAATATGATCTGCATTTATTATAAAATTGAAAACTTTTTAAATTTTTTAAATTGAAAATAAATCCTAACTGCACTGCTAATCACTGTTAATAATAGATAAAAAGGCAATAATTCATACTAAATGAACTACAGAAAATAATATTAAAAAAAATATAAAGAAAAGTGAAGAAAATATACATATATAACGTTATTCAGTTATTAAAGGTTATTAATGGTTATTAATTATTGTTGATTGAAATATTAATGATTATCAGGTTTATCAGGTGACATATTGATAAATTCTGATATTGAAAAAGCGGAACCAGGAGTTGAATGATTATCAAGTGCGGACCTGATCTGATGGGGTGGAGTTCTTGGAGGTTCTTGAGGTCCCTCAATACTGATTGATGGCCATGTATGAGGATTAGTAGGATTGATCGTTTGCATAGGAGAAAGATTGGTCAAAGATTGAGTTGATGAAGGAATGGTGGGCATATGTGATAAAAGATTAGCCAAAGGTTGTAAAGATTGAGATGATGACGACGACGGAATAGTGGGCATATGTGAGAGAATACTATCGGAAAACATTAAATCCGTTGTTGTCCAATTATCAAGTGGTTCCATTTCCATTGGAGCCAATGCAGGTCCAGGTTCGGTGTCTCTATGTTCTGCCCAGAGTCTATGAAAAATTTCTCCCGGTGATTCAGATGTGATCGCATTTTCCGGATTTTGTTTGGCCGCCGTATTCCATAATTCATTCCAGAGAAATGTGTTCGGTGATACATTGATATTTGCATTTGTTGATGTTGAAGCTATATTTGATGATGATATGGCGGTTATTGTCGAAGCTACATTTAATGATTTAATGGATGTCATAGCTGCTGTCATAGCTGCTTTGGATGAGGATGGCAAACCATAGCTTTCATCTTGTTTTTCTTGTCGTGATCTTTTAGATTTTGTTCTTTTCGAGGTAATGGGAGCTGCTTTTCTTTTTCTGTTAGTCGCCGTCGTCTTCTTTTTCTTTTCTAATGCTCTTAAGAATGTCTCTGAAATTACTGGTGGAGGTTCCTTGAAACCAGTTGATTTCGGTTCTGGTATTTTAGAAGTTGCAGGTATAAACATAGCGATATCCTCTACATTATCAAATATCATTGGAGGAAATTCTCCAGGAACAATCTTTATTCCCATATCCTCTTTATCTACCTTATCTTCCTTGGTCTTATTTAAATTAATTTCATATCCATTGTATTCATTATATTCATTATATTCATTATATCCGTTATATCCATTATATCCGTTATATCCGTTATATCCATTGGATACCACATACATAGGTTTTTTACCTTTCCCTTCATAAGCTTCGTACATCGACCTTTTACCCTTTGCTTTTGAATATGAATTACTGGAAATTGACTGATGTTCAAATTCGTGCATTGATCTGCAATCACCATTTGCACTACTTTCACCTACTTCGTATATCATTTCATATATATTTGACGAATAATTATTATCAGAAGTTGAATATGAAGGAATAGAATTTGATTGAGGTTCAATTTCGTAAATTGGTTTTTTTCCTTTTTCTTTACTTGAACCAGAAACATTATTATTATTATTATTATTAGAGTAAGAAATGTTATTAATTGATGATGATTGCGCTTGCAAATTAGTTCTTAAATGAGGATCGACGTTAGCGGATAATGTGTTACTCCATGCTTTCATCCTTCTTTGTTCTTCATATAATATCCTACACGTCTCAAAATCGTAACGTTCCCAACCGTTTTTGATTTTGAATGCAAAGTATTCAAGTCCCAGTTTTATCTTTTCTGCAACCTAAAAAGAGAGAGAAAATTTTTTTTTACATATTTGATAATTTAATTTATGAAAAGATATTTACTAAATTGAAATTTTTGTACCTTATACACATCATTATTTTTGAGTACTCGTTCGAAATGAGGATCTCTGGATAGAATTTCGGCCAAAGCTTTGACCTTTGCACTTTCTTCGTTGTTGGTATTATTATTGTTGTTGTTGTTATTGTTCTATAATAACAAATATTTATTAGAAAGGTTTTAAAATGATCATCAATAAATATTAATATTCCAAAGAGTAAATGTTTTTATAATATCAACTTACTTCAACCATTTTGAAAAAGGATTTAGAGAGAAAAAAGATTTAATTGACAAGATCGATCGCGTTTCCCCTTTAAATACCTACTTTAATCTATTAATGAAAAAATGAAGATAACTAATTTAATCGATTTAATTGGATGATAATTGATTTAATTAATGATTATAAGTGTATTATAACGTTTTTATAATGTACGTTGTGCCTATAATTCTGTGTGTGTGCCTATATTGTGTATATAATATGTGTATTTTCCAAATTAAAATTCCAACACGAGTTCAAAATATCCGAAATATTTAAAAACATCCTCAAATGGTATTTAGTTGTGGCTTTGAATGAATTTTTCCATAAGGTAAAAATCCATTTTGATTTTTGTGTTAACGCCTGCTGCATCGACTCAATAATCATTTCAATAATTATTAAGTTCTTTTTTTTTTTTTTTTTTTTCTTTTTGATTCCAATGTAACAATATTATGCACATTATGCACAGCATATGCAGGAGCAAGTGATTTCAGTGTTTTGATTTACTCTTTATGGATCCTTTTACCGCTTGGACCTTACTTTTGTATATGTGTGTTAACTCTTTATGTATTTCGATTATTTTCATAAATGTTACAAAAAAAATACCAAAAAAAATAGACAATTGAAATTTCTTTATTTATTTGTTTTAACTGTCTGATTTTTTATTTATTAATTAATTAATTATTTATTTATTTAAGTTTAATTTGTTTAAATTAATCTAATTAATATATTTATTTATTTAATAATATACTATTGTATACTATTAAATTTATTACTAAATCTATCATTAAATCTATTACTAAGTCTATTACTAAATCTATTTTCTAAATCTATTTGCTTAAACAATAATATTATACTTTGGATCACATTTAATAGAGACAGATTCAATAATAGTAGTTAATTTATCAGGTTGTTTAGTCCAATCAATAGGACCATTAGCCCATTTAGCAGTTCCAGGAGCACCACTACCATCCCAAATACCTAATTGTACATATGAAGGATTACTTGGGAATTGATATACACCATCTTTATAAGTATCTTTTCTCCATAAAGTTCTTACAACTTGACCATCAATTTTCCAAGTAATACGATCGGGTTGCCAATCAAATGTGTAAGTATGGAATTTGGTATCGATAGGTCCATTTGGAACAGAATGAACTCCACCATTTACACCATAAAGAAGTAATCCATTCCAAAAGAAATTGGATTGTCCATGATTTACATCTTTGCCTACCATTTCCCAATCAATTTCATCTCCATTATCTGACATGCACTAAATAAATAATAATCATAATAAATAAATAAATAATTTAAAAAATTATAATAAATAAATAATTTAAAAAATTATAATAAATAAATAATTTAAAAAATTATTATAATTAATTCTCGTACTTACAATAAAAGCAGTAACTACACCTCCAACACCATTAACTTTCATCTTAATTTCAGTTATACCAAAATGTAATTTATATGTACTATTTAATGTTAAACCTTGACCTAAATTCTTATTATAAGGACCAGCGGGATCATTTACACGACCTTGATCTTTCGTCGGTTTTATTAAATGAGCTAATAATTGTCCATTAGCTAAAGTGTAACTGTTTCGATTACCACTTGTATTAATCCAATCCGCTGATTTAGGATCTCTATTATATTCATAATATTCAACAATTCTTGAACTTTTAAATTCATCAGTGAAACTACGACATTTATTATTCTTGCTTAGATTAATGGGATGTTGACCATTTTCTGGGGGATATAAAGCAGTAGATGATTGAGTACTAGTGGATTTGGTTGGGCTAGCTGGTTTGGTTGTAATTTTAGTGCTAGTAATGAATTTCGAAGCAGTGGGCTTGGTTTTGGGTTTTGGTTTGATTTTGGGTTTAGGTTTTGGTTTAGGTTTAGGTTTACCAGCATCAATGGCTTGAATTATCAGTAAAACACTTACTAATAAGATTAATACTTTGATTAGATTCATCTTATTTTAGGGAAATTATGAATAATTTTTAAAGAAATAGAAGTAAAATGAAATGGAATGGAAATTCACTAATTCTCGATTGCTTATTATATTAAGAATAATGAATTAATTTTATTTTTTATTCTATTTTTTTTTTTTTTGCGATGAAGAAAAGAGAAAGGAAGATAGAAGGAGTATTTGTACTAATTTCATGGTCATCGAAAATTCAATTCTTTTTAATCATTTTACAAAGGTATTTCCAAAAATATTTAAAAGTTATTTCTTTATCCTCAAAATATAACTTGAGGAAAATTTTTAATTAAACGATTTCAAATTAATTGGACATAACATGCACTTTAAACATTTAAACTCGCATACACATTTTGAATTCCAATAATATTCCGAATAATTCTATTTATATAATTATGCATTCTCGATTTGTTATACTCTACATGTTATACATATTATTACGTTGTATTATGTTATATGCTAAATATAACATACATTTCAGGAAAAAAATTAAGATTTAATTGATTACTAGAAAATGGTAAACCACTTGTAAGTCTGGAGCATAATATAATTTATATAATGTTGTAACATGTGATCATTATTGTCCGGAGCGTAGCGTAGGGACATTTAATGGACGAGTAAAATGATACCAAAATTTCGTTTTTGATTCTTTAAAAGTTCTGATCCTGATGGTAATTTAATTCACAAAATATAAAATATCAAAATGTAACTTGGGTAGGATTTTTAGATAACGATTGTCAGATAAATAACACAAATGAAATTTATCCAATCAATATGCTCCGGACTAACAATGGTTTACCATTTCCTAGTCTAAATAATCATTATCAAAAAATCGGACAGACATCCTTTCCCAAGTTATGTTTTGATATTTTACCTATTGCTGTATCAAAAATGTAACTTTGCAAATCTTGAAATCCGCAATATGAATAATAGACTAATTAAAAATCCTTTTCTACATAATAATTATTCAGAACAACATGTTTTAGGGCGGGTTAAAAATAAAATTTGAAAATTTCTTATATTTAGATAGATTTTATAGGTTTTTAAAGCTATTAATAATACATGATCTAATAAGCAATACAGATTTTTATTAATTTGTAAAAATTGACAATGTTTAGTATAATTTTAAATTTTATAGAAGTTATATTAAATACTCGAATTTAGATAATCCGGTTTCACCTGGATACCGTGGGTTTAAACTTTCGAAACCAGATCATCCGATTTACGAAATTTGAGTGATTTTCTACTAGGTTATTTCTATGATAAATAAAACGGCTTTGTTCTTAGCTACAAAAATGTATATGTTTAATCCATGTAGCATCGATATTTGCGAATTTATTTCAGTTTAAAGAAATACGTCCGTGAAAAATCGTTGCCAAAAATTTTCGCAGAAATTGTCATAACGTGAAGATTTACACGATTTTTTCACGGATGTTTTTCTTTAAACCGAAATAACTCCGCTAATATTTGGTTTTTACAGGGATGAAACAAATACTATTTTTGTAGCCCGTTCTATCTATAATAGAAATATCTTAGTAAAAAATTGCTCCATAGCGAGCGAAGTCGAAAAAAACGTAAAAACATAAAAAAACTCTGCAGATAAAATTTGCACAAATTTTTTGCCTCCTAAAAATTTCTTGATACATTATGGTTACAATTTATTTTTATCTAATTTGAAATTTAATGAGATAAAAATAGATTATGACAATTAAGCCTATTTCACCCGGTTTACCGGTTTAGGGGTGAAATTTTTTTTTTAATTAAAGAAGTTTTCAATTAAAATTGATAACTTATCTATGGGAAAACTTATGGTTTAATTCTCAGACGGCTTCGAGTTTAATAAGAATTATATTAATATATTTTAAAATAAAATGAATATTTATATATTTTTTTCCTTTTGTTCTTCTTGGTCCTCTTGTTTATCGATTATTTTTATTATTGAATATATTCGACCATTTGTTAATATAAAAAATAATTTTTAATAATATGATGTGAGGCAAACGCATATTTTCATATGCGATAGGGTTGATCAGGGAATTATGTAATTTTGTTTAGTGGTGACAATCAACAAATTAGATATTTTTTGTATACCCCCCCCCCTTATTTTGCTTCTATGTACCCTTTAGAAATACACCAAGTTAAATCATGGACAGGTCGTTTTGAAGTGAATATTTTTTAATATATCAGATTTTGGATCGGAAGTTAGAATTTTCAAATTACTATATTTCAATAATGTTACTTTAATCCACATAAAAATATTACCATTTGATTTGTCTCAATGAAGAGTATGAAAAATGATTGGGTTTTAAGATAATAAATTTAATAATCTCCAGAGAACATCCTCTGAAGTTTCAAATTTTGTATGAAATTCTAAAATTAGAATTATAAATAAATGCAATTAATGCATTTAATAATAGTTTAATTAATTCATTAACCAAATTTATCAATTTTTCGATTGATTAACTGCAAAAAATAAATAAACAGTATATCTATTATGTGTCAACTTAGGAAACCTAAATCAATATATCACATTATGGTAATACAAAATCAAATTAAATGAAAAAATAAAACTCAATTAGTCTTTAAAGTTCGTCCAATCTTATTTATCACCTTCTTCCATTACTATCATTATCTTCTTACTATTATCATCTTCATCACTATTGTCTGTTATCACATACATTGTATGTTGAAGTTAATATGTTCGAGTTGTGCAATCCCTTATATAGAAATCAGTATACGCAATTCTTTGTTTGCTAATATATCATTCGCTATTAATTTTTCTGATACAATTGATTATATCAATCTTTGTTTTTTTTTTTTTTGTTTTTTGTTTCACGTTATAAATTATCAATGATAATAACGGAATGAAATAAGATTTTTCAATGATATTATTTTTTTTTTTAATGAATTACGAAGAAAAAAAAGGAATTCAAGTCTACGGAAAAGATTGAGATATGTTCCGTAATTAAAACTTCTCCGAAGAAGTTTTCGTGTTCCCAAAATTTATTATTAATACTCTTCAAATTTCATCGTTATGAAATTTCTCATCTGTCTCAAGTCCAATATTTAAATTAACATTTTTCACTTATACACTGATATAATCATGTTGAAATCATATCTAAAAACAATTCTTCTATTATTATTATTGATCAAATTAATATCGGGTTACTACGTTAGTCCTGATGACCTTAATAAATGTCATAGTTTCATTGATAATTTTAAAGGTTCTCGTATCGTTGAAGCTCATAAATATAATGGAAATCCCAAATCAGCCGATTGGATTAACATTAGCGGTAATAAAGAAACTTATACTTTAAAACATGGACTATTAGAAGCTCATTTATTAAAGCCACGTGGTAACAGGCCTCTAGGTCACGGAGTAACATTGAATAGTACATATAAATTACATTATGGATCAATTTCGATTACTATGAAACCTCATGGTGCTGGAGGTGTAGTTTCTGCTTTTATTGTAAGTATATCGAAATAATTTATCTAATATTAATTAATTATTATTATAATTAATATTTAATTAATATATTTATTTAATATTTTATTTTATTTATTTTTTTAGACTATGGCAGAAAATGGAGATGAAATCGATTGGGAATGTTTAGGTGGTGATACAAATCACGCTCAGTCCAATTACTTTTGGAATGGTGAACTTCTTTATGGTGTAAATGGTGGTATACATTTGATTAGGGGTAAACCTATGAATGAAGATTTTCATACTTATTCTTTTGATTGGAAACCTGATCGTATTGTTTGGAAAATTGATGGTCGAGTAGTAAGAACTTTATGGAAAAAAGATACTTATGTATTTGGATTTTATAAATTTCCTACTAGACCATCTTACGTACAAATCGGTATTTGGGATGGTAGTTCTCCGGGTACTGTAAATTGGGCTCATGGTCCCATTAAATGGTCTTCTTTACCAGACAAGTTAACAACTCAAATTAAACAAGTTAAAGTTACTTGTGACCCAAAACATAATATTATTGTTTAATTTATTGTTTTAATAGAGAGTTTTATAAGCTTAGATTATTATTTATATTATAAATTGCATTGATTAATAGAGAAGAGTATTTTAAAATTAAAATTATTTATTTTTATATACTTTTTATTTCTAAAAATTCTTTATTCAATATTATTATTTAATTCATTTACCCTGCCTTCAATTTCACTACCTTACTTTTTATTTTTCATTATAGTTTATTCACTTTTTTTAGCATCATTTAAACGTAGAATATTATAATAAGGAACGTAACACAAATTAATAAATTTTGTTAATCAGTTTTTAGTCTGACTTTTAAACTTTGAACTCTCTCAGCGCGTATATTTTAATAAATGTCTTATACGAGAAGTATGTTAAATTTAATTTCGTTATGATATAAACAAAAAATTAAGTTATTCAGTTAACACGTTATAATTTTTTTAGAAAGTATTTATGCGTGTACACCTTCCACTATTCGTGGTAAAGCTGTTCAATTAGGTTTAGACCCCAAAGGTCAAAACTTTCTTTACACAAATGGCAAAACTGTCATTATTCGAAACATAGCTGTCAGTATCTAATTATTCAAATAATTTAAATAATTTTAATTAAATTCAATTTAATTCAATTCAATTTAATTAAAGTAATTCAATTAAATTTAATTAAATTTAATTAATTTCAAAACTTACAACTTTCAATAACTTAAATAACTTAGAAACCAGAAATTGCAACAGAATATACTGGTCATTCAGCAAATGCCACGGTGGCAAAATACTCACCAAGTGGATATTATATAGCTTCTGGAGGTATGTACTTATTTGTGTTCAATTTTTTTTTTTTTTTTTTATTCAATTGATCCAACAATATTTTATCTAATTATTAATTATTTGATATTATTAAATATTATTATTTATTATTATATAATAATTATTATTATCTAATTATTATTAGATGTTCATGGAAATGTACGTATTTGGGATACAACTCAAGAAGAACAGATTTTAAAAAATGAAATTAAAGTAATTGCGGGTAGAATCAATGATATTGATTGGGATTTTGAGAGTAAACGATTAATTGCTGTTGGTGAGGGTAGAGAACGGTAATTATTTTTTTTTTTTCATATTTAATATATATATATATATATTCTCCTCTTTAAAATTTTTAAAATTGGAATCGAAATTTATTAATAATATTATTACTATTATTTTTAGTTATGGTCACGCATTTTTGTTTGATACTTGTTCTTCTGTTGGAGAAATAACTGGACATTCGAAAGTGATTAATAGTGTTAGTATTCGTCAACAACGTCCATTCCGTGCAGCTACTGCATCTGATGACTCCACTGTAGTATTTTATCATGGAGTGCCTTTCAAATATAATGGTGTTATAAAGGATCATACAGCATTTGTTCAAGATGTAAAGTTTTCTCCGGACGGTGAAAAGTTAGTGACAGTTGGTTCAGACAAAAAAGTATATATTGAATTTATCATCTTTGTTTTATCTTTGTTTATCTTTATTTGTGAATTATCATCTTATAATTTGGAAATATTTAATTAATTTTATTTAATTTAATTTTTTTTTTTATAATTAAGGTATTTTTGTATGAAGGTAAAACAGGTAACAAATTATGTGATCTTTCAGAAATTGTTGGAGAGGATGGACACAAAGGTGGTGTATTGGCCGTTTCATGGTCATCCGATAGCAAAAAATTATTGACATCATCAGCCGATAAGACTGTTAAAATTTGGGATATCGAAGCTCAAAAAGTTGACCAGTAAGTTATAATAATATTGAAAAATCCTAAAAAAAATTTAAGAATTAAATTAATTAAATTTTTTAATTTTATATAATTGAAAAAAAAAAATCATAAATATAGAACTTTTAAGTTTTCGGATACAATTGAAGACCAACAAATTGGTAATTTATGGCAAGGCGAACATATAATAAGTCTTTCTTTGTCAGGAGATATAAATTATTTGTCCTTAAATTCATCTTCCCCTGTGAAAGTTGTTAAGGTAAATAATTTAATTTAATATAATTTAATTTAATTTTTAATATGATTTAATTTTAATCTTTTTTTTTGTTTATTAATAGGGCCATCAAAAAGCCATTACAGCTTTTACAAAGGATAAATATAATACATTTTATACTGGAAGTTATGATGGACGAATATATATCCTTTTTATATTAATTAATAATGATGATAATAAATAATAATAAATAATAATAATAATAATAATAATAACAATAATAATAATTCAAATTAAAAAACTTTTATATCTTTAACTATCATTACAACACATGCCTGGATTAACGAAGAAGGAAAAGAAGGTAGCGGTATTCCAATTGTTGGAACGAATCATACTAATTCTATCACTCAATTGGTTCCTCAAGATGATAAAATAATTTCTATTGGTATGGATGATACGATGAGAGTGATTGATGTTAAATCTAAATCATTTAGGTAATTAATTACTTTGATATTTTAATAAATAATATTATTATTTTAACATTTTTTTTTGTTATTAGTACTCCTATAATTCCAACTGAATCTCAACCTAAAGGATTAACAATATCAAAAGATGATAGAAATTTCGTTGCAACTCAAGATAATAAAATCAAAATTATCAAAAATGATAAGATTATATCTATTATTGACGTGACTTCCCCTCCTGGGTCCATTGCTCTCAATCCTGATTGTACAGAGATTGTAGTTGGTTTCGAAGTAAGTTAAACATTTTATATCTATTATTCATTTATTATTTGTTTATTATTATTATAACTTATATTATTATAAATGGTAGGACGCAAAAGTTCGAGTTTATAAGGTGAATAATAATGAATTAAAGGAGGAAAAGGAATTAACAAATAGTCGATCTGCCATTACTGCCATTTCCTATTCTTTGGACGGAACTTTATTTGCTGTTGGAGATTCTCAAGGGAAAATATTTGTTTATGATTCTAAGAGTAAAGAGGTAATTAATATATATATATTAATAATTATATTAAATAATATTTTAATATGATCTTAATATATTCTCTATATTTATTTATTTATGTTTATATTATATAGGTTAAGATTTCTCGTTGGGTTTTTCACACTGCAAGAATCAATTCTATTGCATGGTCACCAGATAATCTTCATGCAGTAAGTGGTTCTTTGGATACTAATATTTATATTTGGAGTGTTGAAAAGCCAATGAAAAATCTTGCCATCAAAGGTAAAAAATTTTTTCTTTACAGTATAAATTATATTCATTTATTAATTAATTAATGTATTTATTTTTATTTGTTTTTAAATTTATTTATTTATTTTATTTATTTATTTAAAAGGTGCTCATCAAGCTGGTGTTAATGGTGTAAATTTCCTTGATAATAATACAATTGTATCTGTTGGTCAAGATGCATGTTTGAAAACCTGGACAATTGAATATTGATTGATTTATATTGTAATATAGAAAATACATTTTTGTAAATTAATTAATTATTTATTTATTTTGTAACTTGTGATTATTAAATATAAATTTGATTTATTTTTGCAAGATATTTATATGATAAAATGAAAGTGCACGAAAAAGGGTATCAAATAATATTATTATTGAATTAAGAATTGAATTCTTTTAATAAAGAATCAAAATCAGGTGCTGAACTTGTCCCCAAATTTTCAACCACATTTTTATCATCCAAAAATTGTACATTAGTTATATCGGTTTCTTGTAAATTTTTGGATTTTCGCCTTTTTTTCTTCTTTAAATTCTTTGATGATGATGATGATGATGAAGTAGACTTGGATATAAAACTTTCTACTTTATCATTAGGTATATGTAAATAATGACACTATCATGAAATCCAATTAGTTAATACAATAATTAAACTAAAATTGAACTATAACAATAATTAAACCATAAATTAATAATATACTTACATTACGATTTTCACATTTTCCAGTTTCAGCAAATGCATAACAATGACCAATTTTAATGCCTGATTGTTCACATTGTTCAATTGTAAGATGAGGAAAGATGCACTAAATAAAATTTATAAAATTTTTATAAAATATTTGTTTAACATGTATATATACCAAATAATAAAAGAAGATAGTTTTTTTTAAAAAAAAAAAATCACTTACATCTTTTTTATCACATTTTCCAAATTTAATAAAGTCAAAACAAAAGAATGGACGTTTTTCGGTTGGTCGAATAGGAAATGTGAAAGGAACTTGATTTGGAGGACCAGACCATTGTATTGGAATAAAAGGTATAGTTTCAGAATCTAAGAGGGGAGATCGTGAATGAACTTTATAAAGGTCATATAAATGGGTTGTGATCTCAGGATGAATTGGAGTAATTTCAGGTGTATTCATTGATGATGATTGATGATTATTATGAGATTCGCAGCTGATATCTACACTTTTGAATATTGTGGCATGTGGATCTCCTTTTTCATGAGAAAATAAAAAAGTTCCTTGGGGAAGACTAAAAAAATAAAATAAAAATAATAATGATATGTTAAATAAATTAAATTAGAATAAGTTTTAAAAATATTCTAAAAAAAAAAAAAATACCTTTGCAATTTTTTGAAAACATAATATAACATTTTACTATGAGGTAAAGGCCTGTAATAAAGAATATATAAAGAATATATAAAGAATATATAAAGATCATATAAAGGTTATATAAAGATCATATAAAGATTATATAAAAATACAAAGTTACATTAGTATATGAATATAATTTACCAATTTCCATCAGGGATTATATCAGCCATTCGCCTTCTTTCTATATTTACTAATTCCTTCTTTGGTACATCAATATGTCCAAGAATAAGATGTGCGCTATTTCGAATATAAGAATAAATCCACCAACGTGCTCTCTCCAAATTTGTAATTTCTTCGGATCCTAAATCTAATTGATATTCTAATTTCGTCTTTATCCCAACTATTCGTTTCTGTATTCAATTATTGATAGATATTATTATTATTAGATATCATTATTATTATTGTTATTAATCATTATTATTATTATTTTAATTAACCTTATAATCATTATTATCTAATTCTTGAATGAATCCGTGTGCTTTACATCTGATTAAAATAACAATATCTCCAAAATTCCAAAGACTATAAATCAAATTTCCAGAACGAAGATAATCCTCAGATGATATTTCATGTGATTGAGCATTATCAACATTCAAATTATCACCATTATTTATGATTTCCATAGGAATTGTATTTTGAACATTATCTGAATGAAATAAATTAATAAATATAATAAAATATAATAATAATAAATATAAAAATAAAAAATATAAAATTTAATTTTAGAAATTACCTGATATCGATGTATTATTATTGTTGAAAACTTCATTAATCTCCATATCAGAATTAAATGATGTACTTTCAAATGCTATATTATAAAATATTTGATTTCTTTGCCTAGAAGTTAAACGTTTCTCCAACAAAGGTTTATCAATATAAATCGTTTTAAGTGTGAAATCACCTTAAATCAAAAAAATAAATTAATTAAAAAAAAAACAAAAATAAAGAAAAAGATTAATTTAAAATAACCAATAACGAAGAAGTATGAAATTTACCATCTTTAGTCTCAATTACACGAATTGGTAATTCAAATTCAACTTCTGCAGATGCTTGTAAAGCAACAAGAGCACATAAACCACCTGATGATATTACTATATTTACTTTATGTTGAATAACCATATCTGGAATTAAAGGATCTTTACTAATAACAGGCATCCTCTTTGAATATAATGATTTATTAATTTTAATATAAAATTAATATAATTAAATAAAATTTAAAATATTTAATTTACCATTTTTTTCCAATAATCTTTTTGTTTTGTTTTTAATTCATCATTTGTTAATGAATTAATAATATTATTTATATTTTTTTCATCAACTGAATTAATAATCTTATTATCATTATTATTATCATAACCAATATCTTCATAATAATTTTTATCCAAACATATTATTTGAGATTTTTGTGTGGATCTCAAAAGTTGAGAATCAAATTCATAACATGTTCCCTATTTATACATATATATATAACATTATTTAATAAACAATTATTAATTACTATTACCTATTATTATTATTATTATTATTATTATTATTATAATTATAATTATTATTTTTATAACTTACAATTCTTTTAATAGTCTGTACAAATGTTAAAACTGGTTCTCCTGGAATTGGAGGTGGAAGCGCGAGTCCCATTGTAAACAAAACCTCATAAACTCTCTAAAAATATGTAATCACAAATTTATAATATAAATGAATTAAATAAAGAATGAGACATTTACTGTGTTGATAGAATGCTTACAGGATAATCTTTAATAATACGTTGTCTACATAATTCAAAATGTTTCTATTAAGAAAATAAATAATATAAATAAAAGAATAAATAAATAATAAATAAATAATAAATATATAAAGAAATAATTTATAATATTAATTTTAAAAAACCTCAAGTTGATTTGCAATTCGTTGATCCAAATAAACAAATCGTTCTTGTGATCTATCATAAAGCCATTGTATGTATTCTTCCTTTTCTTCCTTGAAGCGTTCTTTCATAATATTGAGAAAATTCCAATCTTGTTCAGTTATCAGAGTTTGCTACAAATTAAATATATTAAATTTATTTTCAATTACTATTATTATTATTATTATTATTATTCAATATATAATTTATAAATGTATTTACATTATTCTTGGAAAGTAAAGAAAGACGAAGATAATTTATATGTTGTTCTTGAGAAAATTTTGAAAATGGTGATAATGTTGTAGGTGAAGTATTATCTGAAGAAATAGATGCTGTATCTATGAAAGTTAATGGCGCTGGCATATTTGATATATTTGATATATTTGATGTATTTGATATATTTGACATATTTAATTGTTGTTGATTATGTAAATTAACTGGATGACTAATATTAGATCTCTCAGTTTTCTTTTTGTACTTGTCAAGCATTTGCAAATATGGTCCAATAATATCAATAGATTCTTCTGTTTCCTTTGCTTCTGTTTTATTTGTTTTTGATGCTTCCGTTTCCTTTGTTTCTGTTTTATTTTTTTTTGATACTTCTGCTTCCTTTACTTTCGACTCTTTTGTTTCTTCTGTTTCCTTTACTTTTAACTCTTTTTTTTCTTCTGTTTCCTTTACTTTTGACTCTTTTGATTGTTCTGAAATTTTGGAAAAGACATCTTCTTCTTCTTCAGATTGATCATCCATCATTAAACAATCTATATCAAGATATTTAATATATTATTATTATTAATTTTGCTTATAAATTACCATTAATTATATAAAAATATATAAATATATAATTACTAACCATCATCACTGAAATCTAGATTTACCATAGAAAAGTTGACACCAAATTTATTTTTTTCTTCATCATGTGTCTTATTTTTATTATTATTATTATTATTATTATTATTATTATCTTCATTATTATCCTGAATATCCTTTATTTTTTCATTATTCTGTGATCCATTATCAGCAATATTTTTTTGTTCTTGTTTCTCCTCAAAATTAGAATTGTCTTGTTTTTCTTCAAGACTAGAGTTGTCTTGTTTCTCCTCAAGATTAGTCTCAGGATTAGTCTCAGGATTAATCTCAGGATTAATCTCAAGATTAGTCTCAAGATTGGTCTCAAGATTAGTCTCAAGATTAGTATCAAGTTTAGAATTGATTCTTTGGTGATCAGCCGACATTTCAAAAACACGATGTAATGAATAATGTGAATACTTATTATAAGCATCTTTGGTGAAAAATGAATTACTATTTATAGGTGATGATGAATATTTAACATATTGTCTAAATTTTTAAAATAAATGTTAAAACAAAATTATTCCGTGCTTCGAGAAAGACACACTTGCCAAGGATTGAATTAAATTAAATTAAATTTTATAATAAATATATAATAAATAAAATAAATAAATAAATAATAAATAAATATAAATATATAAATATATAAAAAATCAAAATTTTCAGCTACCGTAATTTCTCCATGGAATTCGAGTGATTTTCTGGGACATTTTCCGTTTCTATAATTGGAATCACTTCCTTTGTATCATCGCTTCTATCATTGAGGCCACGTAGAATTGGTAAAGTAAAATTGCATTTATTCATTCGTGCTTGATTAATCAATTCGATAGTTTTCTGGAGTAGATCTGTTGCCTCATCTACCTTTTTAGATAGATCTAAATCTTCCGAGTCTTGTGTTGCTCTAGAACCATTTTGATCATTATGTTCAATATTTTCATTATCATTTAATGGTGCTGACATATTTTTATTTTATCCCAAAGTATAGGCGTAATTGTTTAAGTTAAAGGTTAAATTTAAAGATTTAATATTTGATCAACGTTGATCAAAATCTTTGGTTTTTTTTATCATGCATATTTCATGTGATATAATTGATATAATTGATATAATTGATCCATATATTTTTTTTCATAACATTTATTAAGCAGTTTAGTACTTGAGTCTCAGAAAAACGACAATTTGGGTTTAAATAATTTAGATATAGATAAGAAGCTCATAAAAATATTTATTAATACACAATTACTGAAGATAAAAGTACAAAAATTGCTAGTCTAGTGGCTTAGTGAGTCATTAATCAGTCAGCAATCAGTAATTCGACTGGTAGCTGGTAACATTATATCATTTTAGTCATGAAGTTTGAAAATAAGTAGAATTTTTAGAGAAGTAATTGGTAACGCTTTCGTGATAAGAAACTGAATGAGGACAGAGAGAGAAATTACTTAAAGGTAAAAATAAGACCATATATCTAATGGATTCGCGATTTTTGATACGCCCCATTACAGTTAAGGAACCTATCAGATATCATTTATCTAAAGATGTTTATGTGAAAAAGAAATGAATTTCTCAGAAATTATATCCTGAAGAATTATTATTGAACGTAAAAGTAAAATATATAATTATTTTGGATATAATTCATCTGAGTAAACCCTTTAATTTATTGAATTGACTGATAATATATTAATGGTCATTCATTGGGAAGAGTTATTTTGGCTTTGCTTCTTGAATGCTGAAAAAAATAAAGGGTATCACATATGGATGTTCTATTTACTGTTTGTTACCTGAAGTTTATAGTAGGTATAAATCTTTTTTTTTATTAACTCAATTCGCATGTTAATTTCATTTTAATTTTTCTTTTTAGATAGGAACTGAGTTATTAAAGTAGAAATGGATGAAATTTTCAAAAATAATAGATTTTCAAAAGTTGACAATCTTGAATTTTTTTTCAAAAAAGAATATTTATTTAATAAAATTCCTATATATCTAAAATTATTTATTTAATAAAATTCCCATATATCTAAATAGTAGGTGGTGTTGGTTCATGTATCTAAAATTAAATTTTATTAATAATTTTATTAATAATTTTATTTATAATTTTATTAAACCAATTAAAATAATTTAAAAAATAAAATACTTACAACTTTAGAAATTTCTAACCATTCTAAAGATTTTAAAATTTGATTATTTGATGGACTAGGAATTTCATTTTGTTCCCAAACCATAAATGAGTCAAACTTCCGGATTGTATTCCAATCACGTGTTTGTTCATTCATTTCTTCGTCTTGTGTTATTTCTTTATCAATATTTGCTTCTTTGAATATGTAACCTAAAAAAAGAAAAGTAGGTAGTATATTTAAGTATTAAAATAAATATATTGCTATATGTATTATTAAATTTAATGAATTTATAGTAAATCTGATTTTTTTTTTTTTACCTTCGCAATCTTTATTTATTTCATGTATTTTTCCAATAAGGCGTCGACCACGAAAAAAGGTTTCGTAAAGTTCTTTTTGACGCATAATTAATTAATAATAATGATTATTATAATAATAATAATTATTATTATTATTATTGATTTTAATAAACACTATATTCGATGGTAATGAATTTGATATGGATATGTAATAATCTTATTAAAAAATACCATTTGATTCATTATTATCACTATTATTATCATTTGTAACATTTATTAAATCTCTCTTTTGTTTATCTTTTAATTTATTGATAATAAAGTATTTATCGATATTAGCTTTTCCATCATGATCAATATTACAAGGTAATAATTGTAATACATGAGGTCTATCGTCTATATTTTCGCGTTTAGTTGATTTGGGAATAGTAGATATGTTAATCTCCATTTTTTACGCGTAATTTGAGGAATTAGTATATAAGTATATATATTTTTTTTAATATTCGGATCAGGGACGATGATCACCTGCGGCGAAATTAATTTCTAAATGAAAAATTTAATGAAATATGATGATCATATATTGAATAAGCGTTCATTGAAACAATTAATAAATTTCCGAAATTATTATTATTATTTTTTTTATTTTTCGTTTTCTTTATTAGTAATACGTTTTTCATTAGTGAAAAAAACAAATTTGACAATTCTATTAATATGACAGAAAAATATAATTATATATTTATCATTAAATATTTTCTTATTATTACTATCCTCTCGTACTAATTATATTTTTCACTGCTTTCCTTGCTCAATTATGTTGGTGCACGAAAAGCTTTACACGACATATCATGGTCACCTATCGCATCCAATCTTATTAATTAAAGCGATCTCGTAAAGAACCATATAACAAACGATATAAAAAAACATTTTTTTTATCTCTACCATCCTCAAACTAGGGGAATTTAATCACGTGAAATTTCAATTATAATTATTCCTTAACGATATTAGTTAAAAAAAAAAATTGAAACGAGGAGAATGAAAGGGTAAATTACTTATTTCTTCTTCTTTTTATTTATTTCTTTTCCTTTTAATTTATTTCTTCTTCCCTGATTATGTTTAGAATGATTATGTGATTATTAAAAATTTTTTTTTTTGATTACTCATAATTCTTACCCTGCATCGTTAATATCGCTAATATCAAAAATCGTTTCAAAATTAAGGATGATGTAAGAGAAATAAAATTTTTCTCTCAAGTATAAAACTCTTCGAAATCCGCTTCTTCTTTCCACATCATCTACATAATTGTTTGTTAAAAAAAAAAAAGATCATAATTTTTTTGTGATCTTGATCTATCATTACAAGTATACGCATTAATTTGTCGCTGGCCGGCTTTTTTTTTTAAAAAAAAAAAATATATATATACATAAAGTAAATCAAATTATTATTTATTATTTATTAAAAAATTTATTTATTTATAACTTTTTGCTAATTCAACTTTTTGAATCTTTTACATATTTTTTTTTTATAGATTACCTGATTACCCAATTACTTTCAATCATTAAAATAAAAATGCAATTCTTCAAATTCTTACAAACCTTAGCGTTGATTGCTATCCTCTATGTTGTAATTGCTGCAAGTCAACCTCTTGATACACCAGCTTACAATAAACGTCACGAAGTTAAACGTCACAATCATCTATCATTTAACAAACGTCACCATAATCCAGATCATCCAGTTAAACGTCACCATCATCCAGATCATCCAGTCAAACGTCACCATCATAAACGTCAAGAAAAATGTACTAATGATGATCCAAGTAACGAATCAGATAATTTTGCCGTAAAATCTTGTAATCTATCTGACGGTACTCCTTATATTGAACCTGTTAAATCTTAAAAAATTTTTTTCAGTTTATAAATAAATAGAAAAAATGTGAATATACATATGCGTGTTGTTTTTTTTGCAAATAATGAAACAAAAAATAGATAAATATCTTCTTTAGTGTAAAGTGTGGTCACAGTCTTTTGATTCAATTTCTTTGTTTTTAATTAATTAATTCATAAAGATTATTTATTATTAATAAATTCAGATTATTGATTATTGAAGACAATAAAAAAAAAACCTTTTGAAATATATTTTCTGTACTTTTATGATCACTTGATTTCATCAAAAAACCATCAGCGGATGTAATATATTAAAATTCTGTATTCATTTTTTATTTAAATTTTTTCTTATTTTGGAAGTAGAAAAAAAAAATTTTTTTGAAGACAATAAAAAAACCTCTACTTTTATGATCACTTGATTTCAGCGAATAAACCATCAGCGGATGTAATATATTAAAATTCTATATTTATTTTTTAAAAATTTTAAAAATTTTTCTTATTTTGGAATAGGAAGTAGAAAAAAAAAAGAAAGCCAAAATTGGAGATTTACAAGAGAAAATAATATGTAAAGGAAAAAAATAATTTTGTACAAAAAGGCTATATATATAAACAAAAAAAAATAGAGAGAAAGAGGAAACCAATGCAAATAGTAAATACTGTCTAGAGTTTTTTTTTTTAATTATATTATATAATAAAATGCAGCAATAAAGTAAATACGTTTTTTTTTGCGTAAAATTCCGACGACTAAAAATATTGTCATTCATTTTATACCTGATAAAAAAATATATATTATTGCCGCATAGTTTCTATATGGATGATAGATTTCTGTGGGAAATTTGATAATTCAGCATCTTTAAATGATTGTTTATAATCTAACTCCCGTATAACAAAAAAAAAAAAGAAAGAAAGAAAAGAAAAGAAAAGTTCAGTACATAAATTAATTCGGTGAAGATTTATTATCATTGTTATTATCATTATTGTTATTACTGTTATTATTATTATTATTGTTATTATTATTATTATCGGCATCATTCTGATTAACATTCTTCTCACCTTCCGCCACATCTCCACCTTGTCTTCTTAATGATGAAAAAGCTCCTTCATAACCAGGACGTGGGGATGATGACGAAGGATTTGAATTAGGTGGAGGTTCATTATCAATTCCTCCTCCTCCTCCTATACTATGACCTGATCCATTTTTCTTGTTATCATTATTATTATTATTAACTGTATATGACATTCTATTTGATGATGAGTTTGATGTAGATGATGATTGAGAATAAGGAATTTGCGAATGTTGTTGTTGTTGATGTTCATAAGGTGAAGTAATATTTTTTGGTGATGAAGAATTATTTGGATGATATGATGAAGATGATGAACTACCACTTGGATAAGTACGATCATTTCGATCGGAAATACTTAATGGAGTTAACGAAGGTAATGTCACTGGTGCATTATTACGCGTAGCTGTAGAAATTACCGTTCCACTACCATATGGTGATGATGATGATGATGATGATGTTTTTTGTGAAGAAGAAGAGGAAGATGGTGTCATAGTAGTATTAGAATTACCATTACCACCAGTAGATGATTCACCAGGATATGGTGGACGTCGGGAAGGTTCATATTGTATATATTCCATTCCACCACGATTCTCCCGTCTAACAGATTCTAAAGTTCCTGACGAAGATTGTTTTGGAGGTACTGTTGATGGTGAACGTATAGAATCTTCTTGAGATGATGAAGGTGGACCCGTTGATTTATTATTTGCAGGATTAGTAGTACCGTATTGAGAATATTGTGATGTACCTACTCCTTCATGAGGTGGATAACCTGTTTCATGTGAATATCTATGAGGCGGAGGTGGTAAAGGTCCATATAAATCATGACGAGGTGGTGGTGGATATTCATGAGGACGACCTGGATGAGGATATAAATGAGCAAAAGCAGATGGTGGAGCTCCATACACTCTTGGAGGTGGTGGTGGAATTGATCCACGCTCATTATTAGGTTGTGATGATGGTGGTGGTTGTTGTTGTTGTTCAGATGATGATAATAAATCTTGTATTGGAATTTTAGCAGGTATTACTCCAGAATTAGGATCATTGGTAGGAGCAGCTGTTCCATAATCATTTTTGGGAGGTGGAGGTGGAGGATGAACCATTGGTGGAGGATATGCCGAAGGATAATATTCAGGATAAGGATACATTGGGGGACCACGTGGTGGTGGTGGTGGAACTGAAGGAGAATTGCTATTACGATATGGAGATGAAGAAGAATCTGAATTTGGATCGCGTGGATCTCTTGTGGGGGTTCGTTCACCGTAATGACTAGACCAAGGAGAACTTCTATGAGAATGTGGATGAGGAGGAGGAGGAGGATATGAATTTGATGGATCATATCCATAAGGTCTAACGGATCCTTGTGATTCACTTCCTGGATGTGGTGGTGGTGGTGGTGGTTGCATTCTTGAAGGTGAATCATAATAACCAGGTGCAGGTTGTCCAGGATACATTGGAGTTCTACCATAAGGTGGATAAGGATAACGATGATGATCTGATCCTTCAGGAGGAATTGGAGGTAGAGGATAATAATATGGATGATAACCATATCTTCTACTATCATAAATGTCATAATAAGGTGCGTAATGTGGATCACCCATATATTCAGGACGATCATGCCATCGAGGTGGATGATAACCTGAAGCATACATAGAAGCATTTGGATCATAAGGTGGACCCATATGATGCATATGATCATATGGTACTCGAGGTCGAGGAGATGATGGATTTATATTAGTAGGTTCTTTTCGTTTATCTACTACTGATGATGATGTTTCTGGCGTTATTTTAGAGCGTGTATCTTCTGTTGTGGATGGAGTATGATGATCTGGCATTTCTACATCTGATGACGTATGACTTTCATCATCATCATTTTTTCCATCGCCACGAACACGTTTCATTCTATTAGGATCAGAAACGTCAATTGGTTCTAATTCTTTTCTTTTGGTCAACCGCCTGTTTTTTTTTAATAACCAAATTCGAGAAAGTATAATATATAAATTGTGCATAAATTACACATACATTGTGTATAAATTACGAGAAATATTGTGGATGTTAGTTTAATCAAAAAAAAATACCCAGTGTAACTAAATAAACCATCAAATGACCTTCGTATCCTGATTTCTTTCCTTATTCGAATTTTCAAACCTTGATCAGCAAATGAACGTGATAGAAATGTTGACTCTAAATAAAATAAAAAAAATAATTTAACAAAGTATTATTAAATTATTATTAAAAATCAATATACCAATTATTTACATCAGTTATTACATTTATCATATTGGACACACACAAACCTTCCATTCCCGGAAATCTTTTCGCTGAATATACAATAAAGACTTCTGAAAATATAGATTTGCAGTGATATACTTCACGGCTATAGAGATAAAGTCAATGAATAAATTAATATAATAATAATAATAATAATAATAAATAAATAAATAAATAAATAAAATAAAATAAAATAAATAATAATAATAATAATAATAAATAAATAAATAATAATAAAAAATAATAATTATTACCCAATTATTTCAAATAAACTAAGTTTCAATCTATAAGTTCCTTCCATACGCACGGATAAATCGGGAAATACGAAAAATCCGGCATCAGAATTATCTATATCCTTAAGATGATATAATGATGAAACGACCGAACCTGTCGTCGAACGTGTTTTCCCATCTCTAAGTAAATGTAACTCTTCATCTGTATCCGGGGCCACCAGGGACGCGTACATGAAGAAGTAGGGATTTTGAAGAAAAGAACTAATTTCAAATAAAAATTTCCATTAAAATAAATTTAACATATCAGGATCAAAGAATGATCAAAAAATAATCAAAGAATAATCAAAGAATGATCAAAGAGTGATCAAAGAATGATTAAGAATGGTTAAAGATTGGTTAAAAAAATGTCCAAAGCCCAAGAATTGAATGGATATCATGTGAGATATCATGTGATTATTTACCTTTTTTCAGATTGGGGAAGAGTAGAATCATGAACTTTAAGTTGAATTATTGGTGGAGGATCTATAGGACGTCTATCGGCTATTTTTATTCAATATTATAATAATAATCCATTTAATTACTTAATTATTACCGCGCAATGGTATTATTGAAAATATATTGAAAATATATTGGTAGTCGCGCATAATTCATGATTAAAACGCGTAATGAATAATAAGAATTAAGATTTACCTTTTTCACCTATACCACACATTCTTGATTGTTTTGGTTGTTGCCGAAGAATTAATTCGTATTGACTAATCATGAAATTGAGAAAGAATTAAGGTAAATTCACTTTTAAAAACATAAAACTTTCGAAAGATCATTAATTATAACAATTATTTTAAAAAAAAAAAAAAAATTAGAAAGAAAATACTATTAATAATAATTGTATACTCTCTAAGAATAAAACTTACATATTCTGTCTTTCATCTCGACGTTGTCGCACTGGAGCAAATTGATATGATACAATATCTTCCATTACATATATAGATATATATGTATATGGTTTTGGAGGTTTTTATATTAAAAATTATTATCAAAAGGATATTTTTTTTTTAAAAAAAAAGGCGCGAAAACGAATATTGAGAGATTCTTGAAAATCTTTATACAAATATTTCTTTTTTACTTGGAGAGAGAGACATATATATATATATATAATACAGAGAAGAGAAAAGGGGAAAAAAAAGATAAATAATATTAAGAATACGATTAGGGTGAATATCTTCTCGCTTAGATATAATAATATTTATCAAAAAGGTTTTATCAATTTTGTCTTTTTTTTCTATCTTTATTTATCTAATGGAAACTTTTTAATGTTTCGTGAGTAGAGAAAAAAGAAAGGATTATTTTATAAAAAAAAATTATTAAAAATTTATATCTATTTTTTTTTTTGGGTTTATGGGAACAAGTGAAACAAATAGTGGTATCGGGGAGCGATAAATTAATGACTTTAAACAGAAATTTTTTTTCGGATGAAAAAATTATTGATAATGTATATACAATATATATACAATGAAAAGGGTGAAAAAAATAATATAAAAATTTTTAGGGATAACCGGGAACAGGGAACTTAATCCGAGAATAAAAAATTATCTTGACAAGGAGAGTCAAAAAAAAAAAAATTTACTAAATAAATTGTTAATAAGTTCCGTGTTACAACAACTTTTTTTGAACTGTACCATAAAATAGAATTTCTTTGTACTTTTTATTTTCGTTCCAAATGAACTTGAATAGAAATTTGGATTTCCTTGTTCCTAAAATACAAATAATGAATTATGAATATTTTAATATGTTATGAATATATTTATAAACAAAATATACTGCATATATATATTTTAAGTAAATTGACAAATGTAACAATTGATAGGTCAAATATTAATAGTTAAATTAATTAATTTTCTTAAAAAAAATTGAACACTCTAAAAATGAAACACTCAAAAGTTGGGTTCAAAATTTTTATTCTATTTTCGTTTCGCTATAGGAAAAAGTAGGGAAAAGGAAACCAAACTAGAAAAAATTTCCCAAAACTCGATCACTAAAAATACAGAATTCAAATATATATATATTTTTCTGGTCAACTTTTATGTTTAATATGACCCCAATTACCTGTTTACTATGAAAAGGAAAAAAAAAAATTGCGATTGACCAGTAATGTGACAGAATACAATTTCAAAAACAAAAATACAGCAGAAAAAATAGGGATCAACCCCTTTGTTTTTTGGAGGAACCTTCCCAAAGATATGGGAGATGGGTTAGAATTTTAAATTTGATATTGTGTCCAAAATTAGCGAGAGATTCTAATCATCAAATTGGATACATTTGAGATATGGTACCGAATATAATATAATACTTTATAATATTTTACATACCAAAAATTATATATATATATATTTTTATCATATTTATATTCAAAAATATTATATTAGTTTCAAACGTACATACATAAAAAAAACGACGATCATTAAATTAGGGAAAAACTTTGTTTAAAAAGGTATTAGATCGACAAAAGTAATACAGGGAAATAACACAGAATGAATGAATGAATGAATGGAAATGATACAGAATGGACAAAAAAATTCCAAGTACCTTATGGCCGGCCGAAAAAAGAATAAAAAAAAGGGATTGTTTCATAAAAGAGAATGAAAAAATGATATTAATTATTCTTAGTTCATAAACAATTTAACATCCTGATACCAAATACAAGGAAAGTTTTGTGTTCATAGACAATTTTCTTGATTTCTTGATTTCTTAATTTGGATACTATTGTGACCAAAAATAAGCAATAATAGGTGCATAATCAGTTGAAAGAATTTATCATCATTAAATTATTGGCTTTGGGTTGTCCAACGAATCTTACTTTCATAGTAAATATAATTTAACATAATTTAATAAAATTTAGTATAATTTAATAATTTAGTATAATTTAGGAGGATGGCTAAAACCAGGTACATCATGAAATTATCCGAAATTAATTAATGTTAGGATTTAAGTAGATATTATATATAAAATTACCTCCCCGACACTTTTTATTAATGCACTAAGATATGTTTCTTGTATTTTTTCTTGTTTTTTGCTTTTTTTTTGCTTTGTCGTATAAACAATTTCGATTGACCAAAGTCAACGGAAAATCTCGTGATGTACCTGACTTTAAACAGCCCCTAATTTAGTATAATTCTACAAATATTTATAATCAGGGTTGTACATTTGGTACAGTACAACCCAATTTCAGATCAGCAAAATTATTATCCAATCAAAATTTTTGAATATCACATGATTTAATTGTACTAAATGTACTAAATTTGAAATTTTATAATACTAGAACAAAATCCCAACCCTGTTTATAATATTTATTTATTATTATTTATTATTTATTTATGTTTTATTGTGTTTCAGCAGAAATTTAAATACTAGAACTTGCCAATACGGTAATACGATCAGATGGTAAGAAAAATGATTATACGATAAAAAACAATTTGTTTTTTTCTTATATATAGAACTTTGAGTATGCTAAATTGAGTAGCAATTATAAATTTTTCTTTATTGGTGAATAATCAACATTTCTGTTTGTTAAATAAATAAATTATTAAAAAGTATATAAAAATATAAAAAAAAAAAATTTATTACCAACATTCAACTTTAAATATTTAAACTATGATTTGTGAGTCAGATATCAAAAAAAAATTTTAATTCCATAATGTAATCATACCTTTTCTACTTAATAAAATTCATGATTTAAGGAAAGAGGTTAAAGAAAATAGAAGTAGGAAGAGATTTCCTATTTAGGATATTGTGTTTATTGTTTTTATGTCAAAATTGGCAATAATTATAATTAGTATGACAAATAAATATATATTAACAATTATGACAGGTGTAATAAATTGATTAACAATTTATTTTATTTTTATTTCTAAATTATTTTAAAAAATCTCCTACTCCACTATTATAAATACTATTCACCACTACTATTATTTCCATTAACATTACTATTATTATTACTTCCACCATTACTGTTATTACTACTCCCACCATTATTATTATTACTATTACTATTACTACTTCCGCCATTATTCCCACTATTAATAACTTTAGCTAAACAACTATTTCTTAAAATTTGTTGTTTTAAAAATTTATCATTTAAACTTAAATGTAAAATAAATCTATTGGGTAATCCCGCAGGTTTTTCAATATTCCATTCTAATTCTGATATTTCATTTTTTAAATATAATTCAATTTCTCTTTCAAAATTCATTAATAAAGTATAACCAACACCGGAATAAGGTAATAATAATTGTCTGATTATTTCTCTAAATGGTTCGGTTTCATTTTTAATTATATTTAAGGTTGGTGAAATTAAATTAAATGTTGGAGGTTGACGATCATGATAAAATGTAATTAAAATATGTTTCTCAAATAATACCGCTAATTGATGCATCACATTTCTAAGTGCTATTAAAAATCCATTAACGTTATCTACTACTGCTCTATTAGCAAAAGTTAAAGGTTGTTGATAATAATAATGTGAAAGATTTTCTTCATTATTATTATTATTATTATTGTTATTATTATTATTATTATTTAGATTATTATTTAGATTATTATTACTATTTAGATTATTATTATTATTATTATTATTATTATTTAGATTATTCAAATTATTATTCAAATTATTATTATTATTTTTATTAAAATTATTGTCATTATCATCATCTTCGTCAGTAGGAATTAAAAAGAATTGTAATTCTTCTTCAAGTTCTGAACGAGAAATTGGTAACATATAATGATCACTATCCTCTATTATAAATGTATTTCGATTCTTTCTATCATTAAAGTAATTGTTATTATTATAATTATAATTAAAGTAATTGTTATTAAAGTAATCATTATTATTATTATTATTATGTTGATGTCGAGTAGTATTAATAATTGATTCAGGCCAATGAACTTTTCCAGTCCGATAATATTGAAGAACATATCTAAATAAGTAACCATCTCTATCAAAGAAATATTCATTATCATTAATAGGATGAAGCATTTCTTTATTTCGTTCTGCAAACATTATCCCTAATAATGTTTCAGGGTATGCTGTTAATGTTGAACGAAACGTTTCATACTAATATATTATGATATAATCATTAATATACATACACACATATATATATAATTATTATTAAGGTTAGTTAAGAATATATAGATATAGATATAGATATAGATATAGGTATAGATATAGATATGGATATGGATATGGATATGGATATGGATATATATATAATTATAGTTATAGTTATAGTTAAAGTTAAAGAATGTAAGAATATAAAGTAGTTAAAGAATATATGGTTAAAGAATATAAAATAGTTAAAGAATATAAAATAGTTAAAGTAGTAGAAATTACCTTAACACCACCAACATTTAATATAATTCTATCTTCAATATCAATTTTCTTTTCATAATGTTCTGTATTATCACTTTTAACATTTATTTCTTCGTTCAAAGGAGATGATTTTGTAAGTTGATCAAAAGACATTCTGTGTGTTGCGTTTCGTTTTGAACAAAAATAAACAAATTATTTATTATTTTTTGAAATTTCACATTATAGACATTAATAGGTTAGGTTACACTTTATGTTGCACAGATCATCATTTAGATTTCTATTTTATTTTTTTTTTCTCATCTCCATTTTTCAACTTTAAAAAAAATGCCAAGAACGAGAAGAAGAACAAGAAGTAAAATTTTTTATTTGTTTATACATAAATTTAATAAATTCCAATTCTAATTATTCTAATGAATTTTTAGATCCAATTATTAAATCACCAAAAACGTCAAAACGAGAAATTAATTTGAATGCAATCAAAAAAGTAACATTTATATAAATATTTATGATACTATGATATTTATGATATTTATGATATTTACAATATTTATATGTATATGTATTTTATATAGATTCAAGATGCAATTGAAAAATATAATTATATTTGGAGAATAGAAATTCAAGAAATGCGAAATAGTATTTTAAAAGAAGTTCGTAGTAATTGGGAAGGAAAAGGAATGTGTGTGTTTGTGTGAAAAAAATTTCATCTTCATTTTATTAATCAATTAATTTAATTTCAATTAATTAATTAATCAATTTTTTAATTTTAGATTCTTTTTTACCAAAAATTCTCTTATGAAAAAAGTATTTGAATCTGAACTTGATAAGAATTTAGATGAATTATCTTCAGTATATATATTTTGATATTTATTCATATAATAATATTTATGTGTCTCTCTTATTTGATATTGATCTATAGAATATTTTGTTTTATTCATATACATAATATTTTAGTTAATGGAAGGTCAAACAGGAATATTATGTACAAATGAAAAAGTTGAAACAGTATTAGAAGATTTGAAAAATTTTGTTAAACCAGATTTTGCTAGAACTAATAGTATTATTAATCAAACTATAATAATTCCTCGAGGTGTAATTAAATATGGAAGTAAAGAAAATCATGATTATGATATTGATATTGAAAATAATGATGATATTAATAATAACAATGATGATGACAATGGAATAGAATTATCACATACTTTAAATCCTATATTAAACAAATTAGGATTGCCTTCAAAAATAAATTTAAAACAAAAGTTGATGATTCAAGATGATTATGTTGTTTGTCAGAATGGTGATAAGTTAACTGAGAATCAGGCTCATTTATTGGTAAATATTTACTATTATATTATTTTATTATTTTATTATTATATTATTATATTATTATTATATTATTTATATTATTTTATTAAATATATTAAAATATTATTTTATTTTATTAATATATTATTTGTTTTAGAAATTATTGGGATATCAACTAGCAGAATTTAAGATGATACCTACACATTATTATGACAAATTAAATAAAATTACTGTTACATTATAATAATAGTAATTTATTATTATTTTCATTGCAATTCTTTAGCAATCCTAAAATTAGAAATAAAAATATTTATTATTATTATGTTCAAGTAATAAAAATTATAATTCTTACTTATTGACATTTTTTAATTGATTCTTCTAATTCAAGAATTTTTGTTTTAGTAAGTTTTCAATCCTTTAAAATAAATAAATAAAAAAAACAAATGAATAATTACAATTAATACAATTAATAATACAACTAATAATATTAATAATAAAGTTAGTAAAAAATAAAATTTACCAATTATCTTGAAAATTTTGTTATAAAGATAGATTCTCGAAATTCAATTCGGATATTTCGGGAGTTTTGATAGTAATCGGAATTGCTTCACGTTTATCAAGTTTTATCAAGTTTTAATCAAGTTTTCATTATTTTTAATAATTTCGTACACACAACACACACACATGCTACTTACATTCAAGATTACCTAAAATTTCAACCGTAGATGATGAGAATTTTTGTTCGATTATATTTTGCACTTACGATAAAGGTACCAATAAAGTAACGATAAAGGTAAAAAAAAAAATAAAAAAATAAAAAAAAAAAAAGTAAACGATAAGTTTGTATGCACTTATGTATATTACATTACATGCATTCGAATAAATCTTATAGAGTACTTACGTTCAATTAATTTACCTTTAATATTTTCAATATTCTTTTTCTCTTCATCATTTATAACATTTTTTTTATTAATTTCATTAATCCATTTAATCAATTCTTGTCGAATACTCTCTATTCTGGTTACACAATTTTCTCTTTATAATATATGAGAGTAAGGAGGAGAATTTGTGATTCATTCAATCAATTAATCATTCATTTATTCATATAGCGATATATGTACATCAAATACTTTATATAATTACCTCAATTTCTTAAAAGATTTAGAAGAATGAATTATTTTGTTATCCGCTTCACAAATACTTTGATTTATATTTCCAAGATGATTATTCAAACTATTATTTACAATTAATTAGTTAATTAAATAATATTCATTTATATTATTACTGTACTTTATATTATATTTACTTACCCTTCTATTGTAATTATGTCTTCATGTGCATAATTGTTGTTTTCTATATATTTTTTTTTTAAGTTAATTGATACTTTTTAAAGTTAATATATCCAAATATAATACGTTCTCCTTTACTTACTCGGTTCTTGCATTTCCATTCTTTCTTTTTTAGGAAATAGCAATAATAATTTAAAGTACACGTATTTAATTTGAGATTTGGGATTGGATCAGGTTTCTGTGAGGAAGATCAAGATATTCACAAATTAACAAACCCCATAAAAATATGGTACCTTTTTTTTTTTTTTTTGAAGCGTACATACACGACAAACAAGTTTTTTTAAAATCTAGCAATAGACCCGCTGTTCTATCAACTGTGCCTATTTCGTTTTGTGTGGTGGGCAGTTAACGCGACAATTATAACAAAATTTTATGTAAGTATTGAAAATATAATTTATGTAATATTTGTATTATGTATATTTTAATATGAAACTTTTAATTTTATAATACATAAAGAGGAGACGCGTCTTGTTCTTTATTTAATATTACAACATATTTATAAATATTATAAATATCTTATCTATAAAGAATTTTTTTTTTTTGATATATAAAATAATTCTCTAAAAAATTTAATAATAATAAAAATATAAAATTCTTTCTTTTACAAAAAAAAATGTCAGCGATAACTTATTGTTCATTTTATATATATATAATACATCCGATATAGATTTATATCTTGTACTAACTTCTTGGATCAAAAATGAAAAACCTCCTGAAATCTCATAAATAAAAATATAATATAATAAAAATATGATAATAATAATAAGGGTAGAATACATTTAATATACAATACAAATTTGTCCTTTACGGGAAAATACAATCAATCTAAAATTTACAAAAAAAAAAGAGAAAAGAAAATAGTAAATAAGATTAATATAAAAATAAAAAGAGCGAAATATTCAAAGAAAAAAAATACACTATCAAACAGAAAACGGAATCAAAAAAAAAAAAATTCCAGATTATTAAAAAAAAAAAAGATGTACAATTAAAAAATAATAATAAAAAAAAAAAAAACCTGAAGAAGCCTAAGACCCTAAAAAAATATCTCTCGAGTTATTTATTGTTAGCTAAAGACACATTAGTAAAATTATAACAACATTCAATAAATTCAACATTTAATGAAATAAATAAATAAATTTCTCATTTATCTTTAAAAAAAATTAATGTCTAATTGTTTGCATAAAAATACATATATAATTTCCTAGATTTTTAATAAATGATTAAACCTACAAAATATATTAAGAAAAAGAAAAAGAAATGGATCATTCAAATGTAAGAAATATTTAAATATTTACGAAATATTTATATGAAATATTTTTATAAAAATGAAAAAAAAATAAAAATAAAATAAATAAATAAAATTTTTAAAATTCAACTCACAACTTTGTCTTTGCCCTTAATTTTCATTGATGATATAGGATCCAAAGAACCACACCTACTTCCTATTGGTTCTATCCGTCTTTCAGTTTGGCAAACTGTGCATTTCGTTTCCATTTCATTTTCAGTGCTTACGTTTGTTTCCGTTTCAATGCACCGGCGATGATACCCATGACCGCATCGGAATAATAATAGATCGTTTTCTTGTGTAGACGGTATTACCGATTGTGGTTCGGGAGATGGAGGCAATGGAGGTAGTGGTTCTTGTGACGTCGATGCTTCGTCTGATAGGTCAGACAAGGAGTGATCAGAATGTTCTTCTAGGTTCGATATGTTCGATATGGCATCTGCAATATTGGCAGGGTTTGATATAGTGGATGAATGGGGCGTTTTCTTTGCTGTTGAAGAACCTCTACCAGGTGTCGTGCGAAGGGTCAGTGGGTTCATATCGGTTCCCCAGAACTGACCCCCACACACTTCACACGTCCCCCTTCGAGGACGCCAGCCTTTAGCACGCTGTCGTACAACACCTGCTACGCCCATGAATAAGTCCTTTTCAAATAGCCGGTTGGTCATAGCCAGCAACTGACCTTCATATTTGTATGTATCAATCATGCCTACAAAAATGTCCTTAAAATCTGAGACGGTACTGTTCCTTTTGGCTTGTGATTGTATAAATCGAAGCAAAAGTCTTGGCAAAGAAACGTATGGTGAAGATGTAGACAACAATAAAGACCTCATGATAGACTGAACGTACGATTTGAATGTTGTAATTAGGTGATTGGCTATATGTGGAGGTATCGCCGTTCTATGAATGTCAAAAGATGGTAATTGTCCCTTTGATAAAAGTTTTTCTGACATCATTGATGGAACTGGTGGTATAACACTAGAAGATATGGCTTTAGTAGCATCCAAAAACATGTCCAATAGCTTGAACCACAATAATTCTGTCTCACTTTCTGTAGCCCGACTTGTTTGTGGTAAAGCAAGCGCCCTTGATGATTCACCATTATTAGATATTGCTCGTCGGCAACTATTTTCACATAAAAGAATTCCAATCTTGAGTACACCTTTCAATTTCATTAAAGATGTCTCAATTTTTGTTTTTTCAATTAATGTCCATCGATCATTCTTTGAATTCTTTTTTTCTTCAATTAATACAAGAATTTCCTGCCTTTTTTCCTGAACAATATCTAAAATTTTATCAAGAGCACCCATCGCATTTCCATTTTTTTCTAAAATCCATACTACTGCATCCACAATACCCGCGGTTTCGCAGATATGTAGAACATTTTCAAGTCGATAAGTACCTTGATGGGTTTGTAAATAATGATATACACCAGTAGGATCAAATTTACCCATAAGATAAATATATTGTTCATGAATTTCTGGATCTAAATATGGTCCCATTTCAGACATAATAACTTGTTCTTCTACTGTATGAACTCTCGTCATAATTTCATATCCTTTGACATCATCTTGAGATGGCTCTAAAAGACCTCTCAAATATGTAAATAAAAGTGCCGGAGATGAAGTTAAATTTTCAATAACAGTTCGATGATCACCATCAAAAAAAGTGTTTATTATTGACGCGGTTTGTTCACCATCAATATCGACAATCTCTTCAATTCGAGTTATGACGGTCTCGGAAACTTCCATTCGTTGTTTTTCATTAAGTTTACTATGATGGCTTAATAAACCTCTTATGCAATCAAAAATTTCATGTCTTCTTTCTGGATCCTTTAAATAAGTTGTTACTAATAATCCATATTTTTTTTCAGCTGTATAAACATGCTCTAAAACTCTCCAAAATCCTGCACTTTCATATAATTTTACCATTGGATTTTCATCTTGTGGTGTATATATTGATAATAAACATTCAACTGAAAGTTGTCGTTCTTCTCGTGTACGAGGATCATTATCCGTACTAAGCTTTACGAGAATTTTATGTATTGTTGATGGGGAGAGTAAGAGGAATTGAATATATTTCGGTAAATTTCGAGCCACGAAACAATAAAGGTAAGAAATATCTGATTGTGTAAATTCTGATGATTCGGGTGATCCGGAGGTCATTACTTCGAGTAATATATTAACAAGTAATTGTCGATTAATGATTTTTCCGTGAGTTTCCTCCTCTTCATAATAATCATCACCACTTGTAATTATTTCTATACCATTAAGATAAGAATCTTCAAAAGCAGCTTCTAAAGCATGTAAAAAAGCTTTGGTATCAAATTTTAAGAATAATCTAAGATAAGGGTATGTTGGTTCAGGACCATTTTGTTCATCTTCAGCTGTTAATATTAATTCACCTCCATGCCTTGGCCATACAACACATCGACCTGAAAATACGAAAGAATAAAGGGTCGTTCGTGCTTCATTGGCCTCGGCGTCATTTAATGGTGCTCCGTTTGGATAAGTACGTCCGGTGAGAATATTACTCAAATAAGTATAAAATTTGCAAGCATCCGTTCTCATCTTATCTAATTCCTCACCTTCGAGTATAAATGGATCATAAGTAGAATTTTTGTGATCACTAGACATAGAAAATCGATGTTTCTTCTTTTTATGTTTTTCTGTTATCAAAATTCGTCTAATTACACCAAGAAGTTTCACTGCGGGACTAACATAATCTACCATGGAGCGATTCCAAACATAAATGAGTGCATCATATAATCCTTCTCTGTGACATAATTGAACAACTTGATCAATGTCTAGACAATGAGGATTTATATGCCATATACACTTCTCCAATTGATCAAGTAAAGGTGGTTTGCTATAATGATTGACAAAATCTTTCATTATTTCTGGTGGTAAATCCTTTATTTTATCTTGAACAATATATTTTTGAAGATTTTTTAGAAGAATTCCTTTGGCAGAGGCTTCTCCGTATTTTTCATATACTTCAGTGAAAAGGAAATCTTCCTTATGCATACTAAGACATGCTTCTATACATGCGACAGCTAGATCGTCAAACAAGACAGCACCACTTTCATTATGTTCATCGACCATTCCTTGAAATGTTCTTTCACTAGAAAATGCATAGTTTATGGAAGCGATTAAAAGTTCCATAAGTTTCTCACCAACAATTGTATGTCGAGCCTCCTCTTCATCAGGCAGACCAAGGATTGTTTGAGATGATGTACCATTATAAAACGATGTGGCAAGAGCGATACATTCAAGGAAGTCCCCAGATTTCAATAATGCAATTAATCTATCAGCCCATGATAGAAGTGTACCAACAAAAAGTTGGCGCACTCCCTGATTAATGTTGTAAAATGAAATAATTCAGTAAAAAAAGAAATCAATAAATATTAAAGATTTGAAAAAATTAGTTAAGTTTATGGTATAGTGTGTAATAATGATGTAATTGATGAATACCAATAAAAAAACTTTGCCCTTATACACGCGTAAACTATGATAATAAGCTAAATCTGTAGTTGGATTTTGATTGTTTGAATTTTCTTCCTTTAAAAGCGAAGAAAATTGATCGTGATAAACTAATGACCGTTGTCTAATATTAGTAGTTTCACTCTGTTCCATATATCTTGGATCAAATACAATTAGGTCTTCTGTATTTGTCAATATCAACAGAATCTGAAATATATAAACAGAAATTGAAAAAATTGAAATTTTTATTCATTTAACTAATGCACTACTAATGCACTAATGCATTAAAACAATTCAAAAACAATTAATATTATTTATAATATATTTGACTCAAAAAAAATATAGATTAGATGAATGCACCTGAGATGAAAGCCACTGAAGTCCTACTATGCCATTTGGGGCCTTCCACTCTCCAATTTTAATATATTCTAAACGTACATCGCGTTCGTTTTTACGTCTTTTTGTAAAAATTTCAGGAAAGACAGGAGGCGCCACCGTAACTTTTATAAGAATCAAGTGACTTCCCCACGAGAATGCAAGAAGTGGATCTGTATTAATTATTGGTGACTCTGTAACAACGAAACATTAATACGAAATTTTGTTACGAAAATAAAATAAAATAAAATAAAATAAAATAAGTTTCAAAATTATAAAAATATATCCAGCAATATATATTTTCACCTGAATTAACAGCGGGAAACCATGCTAAACATCCGGAAATTGATTTCGGTTGCGTAGAAGAATCGGAGGCAACATTTTTGGGCTTTATATATTTATACTGTGGCTGAGCTGTTGGTTTCGTACTTACTATAATCATCTTTTTTGAAAATCAATCGAAAATTAAGAATAAAAAAAATTTTTAATTATCTCTTTGAATTATTAAAAATAAATAAATATTCAACGGTGATTAAAATAATAAACGTGATAATACTTTATATGGAGTTAACATTGCAACCAGACCAAAACCTTCTGACACATGGGGTGATTGGCCTATAGGTGATGGAGCTAAACCAAAGACAGTACTAGGTCTCTTTGATTTTGATGTTCCGGATATTTCATGAGGATATCGACCAAGGATCCGAGTAGTTTCTGTCGCATTAACCATCATGACTTTGTATAAATTATGATAAAATGCCATTCCCTTTTAGGAACAAATAAACAATAGAAAGGATATAGAGAAAATGTAGAGAAAATATATAAATAATTGAAATAATTTTAATAAAGAAAATCGATTCCGAAAACAATGTAATATCCTCATTTTACGAAAAACATACATGATCATCTCCAGAGACGATACCATTCTTTCGAACACCAACAAATCCAACATGTAAAATTGTCGAACCACGAATATGGCCTTCTTTTCTACCACCAGCAGCGACGGCAGAAGAAATAGGCAAAATAGAACGAACAGGACTAGACGGCCTTTGAAAATCCCATATTAATATGTGTCCTTGAGCATGACCACTAACAATTTGGGTGTGATCGGATGATATTGCAAGAGCAGTAACAGAACCATATTCAATAGCTATCATGAAAAATTAATAATTTATTAAAATTATTAATTATTAAGTTTATTAAATTTCCAAAAATGCCAATAATAATAATAATAATAATAATAATAATAATAATAATAACAAAAGAATAATGAAAGCTATAATTTTCGATATGATACCATTTGCTGCGTTACCAAGAAGACACTTTAAATTTTGCGCGTAATCATACACCATAATTAAACTACGAGTGGTGCCAACGGCAATTAATCCACTTACCTATTAGGAAGAAGAAAAGATAAATTTAATTAGTTGATTATTTAAAAGAATATGATTAAAATGTGATAAAAATATGATTAAAATAATGATTAATTAATTAATAAAATAAATAATAAACACTCACAGCGAGTACAGTTACTAATCCAGCACTTTGACTAACATTGGGTGAGTAAAGATGTTCCGAAATTTTATTCAAAGGATTCCATTTAAATGCTTCCCATGGCTCTGGAGAAGCAGGTATCCCCATGTCCTCAAGACTTAAGTCAGAAGGAGATGATGAACGAGAATGTCGGGAAGACGTTAGTGATTTCAAAGAAAGTACTGATACTGTAGATGCAGAATAAAGACGTGCTAGACTTGGATCGAGAGCTCTCAATGAATGTGGTGAAAGAGGAGCAGTTGTAGAAGTTGTTGTTATAGATTTGCGAGATATATCCGATAAGGAATCCTAAATAATAATAATAAAAATAATAATAATAATAGTAATAAGATTATAATTATAATTAAGGTATTATATTATATTATATTATGTCATACTTAATAATAATTATTAATGACTGATTATTAATTATGATAATAAATGATAATAAGTAATAATAATTAATAATAATTAATGATAAATAAAATATATATATCAACCTCAAATAAATGGATTCCAGATTCTGTATCTACAGTTTCAGAGTCTTGAAATTCATCTTCACTTGAAACATCTGATTCATTTAAAATCCTATCGAGACTAAGATGTGACGCTATTATCAAAAAACGTGGAATTTAAAAATTAATCAATCAATAGAATTAATGAATAATCACGAAAAAATAAATTAAAAATACCTCTGTTTACAAATTCCTCATATAATGCTGCTTCTTTCATAACTCGTTCTAACAAATCAGTTACTTTTTTTCGTCGTTGTGCACCTAAAGTTGATGGCTCAGCCAATGGTCCACCTTGCAAGTGGATTTGAAGATCTTCCTGGAGTTTATATAATTCACTGAGGACAGCTTTAACTGAACTCTCTGGAGTACTTGGGAGATCCAGCTCTGGTATTATAAGTTGATTAAAACAACTCTCAATGTCAACCAATGAAGAGACACCATTAACTAAAATGTATTGATCAAATTAATAATAAAATTAGTGATATTCATTTTACAATTTTCTATCATAAATTGCTGCTCACCAAGACGCGAAATTGATCCCTCTGCTATTTTTGGTTGGGGTTGAATATCTTGAATTTCTGTTGTAGGTGTGGATGGCTCATCATTACTTAAAAAAAAAACCAAATAAATAAATAGAATTAACGTAACGTTAAAACACGAATTCTTTTAATTACATAAAACTCTACATATTTAATTTTATTAAGAACATTCACGCTAATATTTTTTTTTATTATTCTTTTTAAATAAGTAATATAGAGTTCTAACCTTCCATCAGTATCTTCGTCGTCTTCCCCACTCCCGTTTGTTAATCCATTGTTGTCGTGTAAGATTTCGAGAGCTCTTTTCATGGCGTCTGTTAAACCCGCAGCTTTCCATGCTTCCACTGTACTTTTTAGATTGTTCAAATATTGTTCTGCTTGCTCCGTATCTTCCAAAGCAGCTTCAAGTTCTGGAGGTAAGGGTCCTTCGGTTGAAACTAGAGGTAAATTTTTCAGAAAGTCATCGTCTGTATCAGATTCCAGTATTTGCTTTAATAAAACATCATATGCTTCGAGTTTTGTCGCTGTGGGTGTCATAACTCATGTGGAATATGGGATGAGAGAAACAAAGTTGATTTACAAATACAATTGCTTTTTTTTTTTTTAATTTTAACTTAAAAACCCTTGTTCAATACAGCTCGGCTTTTTAATACATTGTGGCCACATACACGTGATCCAAAAACTAACAATACCCGTGTAACTAGTTCTTGTACTTGTATAAAAAAATCTATTGTCTATTGTAAAAAAAAAGGTTAATATAAGTTACATTCACGTGAAATTGAAAATATTTCGCATCTCGATAATCACAACAAAACTATAAAATGATAACATGCTAAAAAATTATTGGCATTTTAGGAAAAACAATAGTTTTTTCTGTAGTTTTAATAAAATATTGATTCAAATTGAAAAACGAAATATTTCGTCTGTGAACATTAATCGTCGGTTATTAGAATGGAAGACCGAAAAAAAAAGACAAAGTGAAATAATTTCAAACTCAAATAATGATACAAAAGACATAGATATTCTCGTCGATGGTACACTGAGAAAAGGGTTATCGGGAATCACAACACCATATGAATGTGCCAAGGGTAGATAATTTTTTTTTTTTATAAATTAATCAGAAATTCACCAAAAATTAATAAAATTCTTTTCTTAAAGGTATTTCACACAAGTTAGCTGATAATTCAATTATAGCTTTAGTGAATTCCAAAGATCTTTATGAGATGAATCGACCACTTTATGATTCTTGTTCCTTGAATTTTTTGCCATTTTCAGTAAGCAATACTTTAACCACAGAAGTTTTTTGGCATTCAACTGCCCATGTGATAGGGTCAGCTCTTGAAATAAAATATGGAGACGATGTGTTATTATGTGATGGTCCACCTTTAAAACAAGGAGGTTTCTTTTATGAATTTCTTCTGAAAGAAGGCGAAGAACCATCAAATCAACAACAATCATATAATAATAATATTAATAATAATAGTGAGTTATTGCGGGAAATAATTTCGGGATTAATCAGATCACCAAAAATTAAAGGTTTTCCAGAAAAAGATTTACAAGATATTCTTAAAATTATGAAAGAATGTGTTGCAAGGAAACATCCCTTTGAAAGAATGCAAGTTACCAAAAATTTTGCACGTGAATTATTTTTCACAAATCCTTTTAAATTACATTATATATCACAAATTCCTGAAAATGAATCAATTATTATTTATAAATGTGGTTCTTTTATTGACCTTTGCCGTGGACCACATATTCCTCATACCGGATTTATTCGTACTATTGAATTATCGAAATACGCGACTGCATATTGGAAACCTGACTTAGCGTATGATAAAAATTCACCACAATCTATTAATAGAATTTATGGAATATCATTTGCTAATACTAATGAATTTAATAATTGGAAAAAAGATCAAGAAGAAGCGCAAAAACGTGATCATAGACTAATAGGAAAATTTCAACAATTATATTTAATTCATCATTTGAGTCCTGGTTCCGTATTTATGCTTCCTCATGGAACTCGTATATTTCAAAAATTACAAAATTATATTCGTCTTAAATATAGAGAATTTGGATTTGAGGAAGTAATGACACCAATGATATACAAAAAGGATTTATGGGAAATGTCAGGACATTGGCAAAATTATAAAAATGAAATGTTTACTGTTGATTATGGTGAAAATTTTGAGATAAAAAATGAAAAAGATGAAATATTCGGATTAAAGCCGATGAATTGTCCAGGACATTGTTTAATTTTTGATAATTCTCCTAAATCTTATCGTGATTTACCAGTAAGAATTGCTGATTTTGGTTCATTACACAGGTATCATTTTTGTGAATTTTTTTTTTTTTTTTAACATTTATAACGTTTATTTTGTATTTAATAAGAATAATAATAATAATAAAATTAATAGACACGATAAAAGAGATGAATGATGAAAAAATGAAATTCGTGATTTTTTTTTTACGTTTTCTAATATTTATTAAAAAAAAAAAAATTTTTTTTTTTTTTTTAACTAGAAATGAAATTTCGGGTAATTTAACTGGTCTCACCCGGGTTCGTCAATTCCATCAAGATGATGCACACATTTTTTGCAGAAAGTCACAAATTTTTGATGAAATAATATCTACATTATCTTTTGTTGATCATGTATATAATGATTTAAAATTTCCCAATTATCAATTTTTATTATCTACTAGACATGAAACTCAATATATTGGAGATATTTCAGAATGGGAAATCGCAGAAGAATCACTGAAAAAAGCATTAGAAGCATCAGGAAAGAATTGGATAATTAATCCAGGAGATGCGGCATTTTATGGACCAAAGATAGATATAACAATTAAGGATGCTTTTCAACGAATGCATCAAACAGCCACCATACAGTTAGATTTTCAACTTCCACAAAGATTTAAATTAAAATATATTGATGAAAATAGTACAGAACAAACACCTATAATAATACATAGAGCCATTTTAGGATCAATTGAAAGAATGATGGCAATTCTCATTGAAAATACGGGAGGAAAATGGCCATTTTGGTTGAATCCTCGACAGGTTATCGTTATTCCAGTTAGTCCTAAATTTTCTGACTATGCACAAAAAGTACGAAATTCATTGATAACAGGAATTGATCAAACTAATAATAATCAAGTTAATCAAGTTAACCAAGTTAATCAAGTTAATCAAGTTAATAATATTTGGCAAGAAGATGACAAGAATGAAAAGAATAACAATATGAATAACAATGATAAAAATGACAAAAATAATAAAAGTAAAATTAGACAACAACAATTATATTATGTTGATGTGGATTTTTCATCAAATTCGTTAAACAAAATGATCAGATCAGCACAAATAGCGCAATATAATTATATTTTAATTGTTGGAGAAAAGGAAAAAGATACTCAAACTGTTAATGTTCGACCACGAGATGACAAAAATTTAGGTAACATGACAATAGATCAATTATTGATGCATTTTGAGAGATTAAACCAACAATATTTATGAAATTACGCATTATAAATAATTTATAAATGCAGTTTAATAATAATATAAATATACATAATATAAATAAACAGTTACAAAACTATGGTTACGGAAGAAAAATTTGTGCAACAATTGCCTTTGTTAAGATAAAACCTTATGGGAATAATGCATAAATAACGCTAAATGCATTTGAATAAATACTTTTCTAGTTTCATCCAATACTCTTCTGTATGTGGGACTTCGTATTGTTTAAAAATGAATATATAAATATTTCAATAACAAACAAATTAAACAAAACGATTCCCCGCAAAATTTCAAGATTGTTATTATGTAACAAATAAATTGACCTTTATATGTACAATGTTGTTTTTAGTTCGAAAGAAATAAAAATACAATCACCTATCATTATTAGCAATAAAGAGTGATGTAATTGTAATTGTAATTTAATGTCTTTAAAATTCTTCTAATTAACTTTACGCATTTTTAGATGACTGAAAACCACCGCTGAACGATATTCAATCGATCAAAAATGATGGAAATGGAATGCTCTAATATCTCTACCATAAAATTTATAAAATGTAAAAAATATTTCCTGCTACCTAAAATGCAATTAATATTTAAATTATAATTTTTATAAAATATATTATCTCTCTCTTCTCTCTCTTTTCTAATCCCATTTAATAGCGATTTTTTTTGTTTAGATAAAGAATTGTTTCTTTTTAAATCATTAATTCTAGAGGTGGGGGGGGAATTGATTTGATATTAAAATTGACTTAGTTGATGATACCAATTCGTCTCATTTTCATTTAAATTTCCATTTTCCTCTAAATTTTCACTTCCCTCTAAAATCTCTAAATTTTTTTTCTTTCTAATATCCCATCTTCAAATGCATTATATGTAATTACTGATTCATCAATATTTTTACACAATTCATTTTCACTTATATTCTTATCATAAAATGAGAGTTTTCAGAATTTGAAATATAATAAGATATGATTTTTGCCATTCATTCAAGAATGATAGACCTAATTGAAAATTTTTTTTTACTTAAAATAATTTGAAAATATACATGCTTTATTGGTGACGCAGGGTTTTCATGAAGTTATTTAACTTTGAAACCAATAAAATTCAAGTAATTTTATGTTTTTATTAGCTTAATTAAAATAAAAAATATTCTCTATTTTTTAATTAATTTTTTTAAAATAATATGTTAAAGTATATATACATGAATTTTGAGATTTTTAATTATTAAAAAGTGTCATTATAGTTTGTTTTCAAATTTTGATAATTGTTAATGTTTAGTTATATAAAGAAAATTGCTAAAGCTCACCGGTGGTGATTATCACCACTGGGCAAAATTAAATTTACGTGGGCAAAGGGTTGATCAGGGAATTATGTAATTTTTCCCAGCAGTGACAATCACTACTGGTGAGCTTTAACAATACCCTTGCCTTTTTTATTAAAAAATTTGATGTAACTAACTACAATAATTTCAGACTTATCTATAGGGGAAATACAGATTTCATATATAAATATGGATTGTATCCGTATTTATATATTGGACAACAATTGTGTCACTCTCACTATTGTAAAATAATAAAAGTTAATAGAAGCCAATGAAAATCTAATAAAAAATTAAAAAATCCATTAACAAAAAAAAAATATTAGAATCAACAGAATTTATAGACACTAGTAATAATAATGCAGGTCAGTTTGTATGTTATTTAAGAATAATTTTCTATAATATCTTTTTATTAATTTTTTTTTTTATAAAAGATACTATATTTTCTTCAAATGTAAAAATAATGGTCAAAGTATTGTACAAACAACAGTGTAGAAAGTGTATCAATTTAGAACTAGATCCAATAAAATTTAAAAGTATAATTGAAGATGCCAATCTATAATTAAAAGGTTTTTTTAACTATCACTAGTTAAATACAAAAGAATCACTGTACCAAATGATAATTTCTATACTATAAATTAGCTAAAAATTGATAACAATTAATTATGTTACTATTTTTTTTCTTCTCTTTTCAATTGGTATACTTTTATATCATTATGCCTATTTACCATACTCCATTACCTTTTATTTCATTCAAATAATCTCTCTTTTACCTGTTACATTGTTGATCCTAATGGTCAAATTTTATTTATTATTATTATATTTTTATTTTATTTTATTATTATATATTTATTTATATTTTATTAGCTTAATTTTATATTTTATTAGTATATGTAAATTATTTTGAAATTGGTATAACTATTAAGTATTACGACTGTAGATCTGAGCATAATCAACAGCATAATCAATAGTATAATCAACAGTATAATATACAATGTAATAGATAGTATAGTAGAAAATGTAGTTAATAGTATATACATCAGTGTAATTAATAGTGTATACATTAGTGTAGTCTATAGTGTAATCTATTATAACTTCAATTATATATATAAAGGGCTGAATTTCTCTTTGCTTAGTTTAGACAGTTCCATTCAATTTTAGTTTAGCTCAGTTTAGAATTAGTTTAATAACTAATTTTCAATTCTTTTATTAATAAAATACTTTGTGATTTGCTTTATAATTTCTTAGTAAAATTTTTTATTATTCCTTAGTAAAATACTAAAACCTTTATTGAATTATATCTTGCTTTGTGACCTTGGTATTCAGTTTTTGTGTTATAATTTACTACTTAATATTAGAAATTATCAGTTTAGTTTAGTTTATACTTTGTTCTTTGTATATAGTTTAGTTAAACTCTTGTAAAAATCTTATAGCCTTGTCTCTTTCAAACAAATCTGCAATATCTAAATCTTTTAAACACTATACTTTTGTAGTATAAATTAATTAGTGATAATATATTTTAATTTAGCTATTGTATCTTTAGCTAATAGTTAATTGTATCTCTTGAAGGTCAAATCATGGTAACAATATCACTCTTTTTATCTTTATTTAATTTAATTATCAATAATTACTATCACTTATTATTACTTACCTTCATATATCTACTTATCTTGTATCATCTCCTTCATTTTTACCTCTTCTTCAGATTTTCCATCCTGTTATTGCACTTTTAAAATTTGATTTCTACTTTTTTCTTTTTTGTTTATATTTATATTTTATTTCAGCTACACCAATCACGTATTACATAACTTTCCTTATTGCATACTGTGAAAATTGTAGATACTATAGAAAAACTACTGATATTTGTAAAGATATAATTACTTCTTAATAAGATATTACTAAATTGAAAGAGTAATAGTAACTATAAACTGTCACTGTCTCCAAAGTAATTATAAAGTTTTAACTATTTAAAATTTGACACTAATTTAATAATTTCTTTATTTTTCTTTCTATTTTATTCTTCTTACCATGTAATAAATTAATTAGTTTATTTATATTTATAAAATAATCTTTAAAAATATATATAAAAAACTTTTTTATATAATTAATCAAAATTTAATCACTTAATGAATATAAATAATTAGATAGTCTTAAGTAAAATCAATAATAAACTAGGATAAATTTTTTTATTTTCTTTATTTCTTTTTGTAATTTTTTTATTTTTCTTTAATAAAAATTTTATCTTTTATATAATAATATATTTTTATTTATTTTTTTTGTTATATTTTTTATTTTTATATTTAATTTATAAATTATATAGTCTTGAGTCTTAAAACTTTAAAATAAATTATTGATCTTTACTTTTTTACTTATTTGATCATATGACTTAGCTGAAATTACACTTTTTTTACTTGTTTATATATTTATTTTCTATTTAAATCCCTAGTGAAACTATTTCAATCTAATTCAAACATTCTTTTATCTTATAATCTATTACTATTTTTCTTCAATTATTACTTCTTTTTTTATCTTTTCTTTATACTTATCTATTTCTATCATTAATTCTCAAAAATATAAATTTCTTTGTTTTCTTTATTCCTATAGAATATATTAATCCTTTTTGTTAATATTTATACATTCTATATTTCCAAAATTCTTAATAACTACTAACTAAATTCAAGCACTTTTCTTGTACTTTATTCTGCTCTTCCAAAAAGTAATATTATTAAAGAATTATCTATATTAATAAATTTTTTAAAAAAACAAATTATAATATCTTGAATCTAATTGTCAATTAAACTCAAGATTGCACTTGCAATATATATTATTACTTGAATTTTTTCTATTTCAATTTTTACAAATAATGTATAAATCTTTTTTACTCTAAATATTCTCTAACGCAAGTTTATATTAATAATATCTGAGAGAAGTATTTTTATCTTATTATATACTAATATTTTTACTAATTGATCATCAATTTTATTTATATATTTAAAATCTTCAGTTCAATTCTCATATGCTTTATAATAATAATACAAGTATAAAATCTCTTTTGATCTAATTTTCATTATTATAATAAATAAATCAGCTATATTTTAAACTATAATTTTACTAGATTTTATTATAATTATCTCTAACAAGAATTCAGAAATTTGTATATCAAATATTTTAATAACTTTATTATTAATATTTTTTTTAATAAATACAAATAAATTATATTTTAAGACTTATTCTACTCTTTTATTATATGAAATTTTTATTTCAGTATTTTCTACTTGATTAGTAAACATTAGTTCTAACAAGATAATTTTATAGTCAATAACAGGATTAACCTCATTTTATATATTAGAAAAAGAAGATATACTTTACATTAATTCTTAACTTTAAAGTTTTTTTTTTCCTGTTTCTTTCTTATATTTCATTACTAATCTTTTTTCTATATATTATTTTTACAAATTCAAGAATCTCAGTTGAATCTCATTAATAATATCTTGTGATAAAAAGGTTGTAAATATTTTAGATTTTACTAAAGATTCAGATATTATTAAATTATTTTATTTGGATAAATAATTAGAAGTGATATTTTTTCCTTTTTCAGAATAGCTTCAATAGATGATAAAATAGATAATAATTTTTTAGGCTCATCTTTTATTTTGAAAGAAATAGTACTTTGTATTTG